CACATTAACAGACATAACTAACACATAAACAGTTGGCATAACACTATCATAGGTGTAATAACACATCAACAGATGAAGTCACCACAATAATAGACGTAATTAACAGGGCAACAGACGAAGTCATCACAATAACGGACAAAGTCGTCACAATAACAGACGTAATTAACAGGGCAACAGACGAAGTCATAAAAAAACGTAATTAATAGGGAAACAGGCGAAGTTGTCACGATAACAGACGTAATTAACAGAGCACCAGACGAAGTCATCACAATAACAGCCGCAATTATCAGGGCATCATCATCACGATAACAGACGTAATTAACAGGGCACCAGACGAAGTCATCACAATAACAGCCGCAATTAACAGGGCATCATTATCACAATAACAGCCGCAATTAACACGGCACCAGACGAAGTCATCACAATAACAGCTGCAATTAACAGGGCAACAGACGAAGTCATCACAATAACAGCCGCAATTAACAGGGCACCAGACGAAGTCATCACAATGACAGCTGCAATTAACAGGGCACCAGACGAAGTCATCATAATAACAGCCGCAATTAACAGGGCACGAGACGAAGTCATCACAATGACAGCTGCAATTAACAGGACACGAGACGAAGTCATCACAATGACAGCTGCAATTAACAGGGCACGAGACGAAGTCATCACAATGACACGCATCACTAACACAGCAATGACATGGTCATCACCCTTAAAGCGTAATCAACATTTGAAAGATCAATTTAGCACACAAGAGGCACCAGAAGTAACTAAGTACAAAAAGCATTATCAAACTGTTTCAGACCACAGTATACATGTATTCACTAGATAGTAGTACACACGCATTCATTTACCAGATAACAGTACAAACACATTCACCGAAATTTAAAGGAATAACGGACATACAGACATCTCTGGAGATGTGGGTATACAGAAGAATTGGTCGTATTTCATAGAAACAAAAACGGGCCAAAAGACAGGTTCTGGAAAGGCTACAAATGAAAAGAGAAATACTGAAATAAATAAAAAAAAGAGACAATTGAAATAAAGTTGGCTACATTAAAAGGAATAACACACTTTTAAAAAAAAAAACTGGAAGGAGAGGTCGAAAGCAAGAGAGCAAGAGGTGTGTAACGATATCAGTGACAGAACAAACTTCGAGAGATGGGCGTGCAGCAGTTTGAGAGTGTACAACCAGGATAAGAACGCGAGTTGGAGATCCATTGCAGCCAACCTTCACTGTGGAGACGGCACCTGAATGATTGAAACGTCTGCAACAGACTAATACCTTTTTTTTTTTTTTCATTTTACCTTTTGGGCTTGATTGGAAGGGCATTCGAGTTTAAGAAGGAGGGGGAGAATGAAAAGAAGGAGAAGAAGAAGAACGGCCAAAAGAAGAAGAAGCAGAAGAAGAACGGCCAGAAGAAGAACGAGCCGAAGAAGAAAGGCCAAATTAAGGACGAGCAGAAGAACGAGTAGAAGTAGAACGGCCAGAAGAAGAACGAGTAGAAGTAGAACGACCAGAAGAAGAAGGAGTAGAAGTAGAACGGCCAGAAGAAGAACGAGTAGAAGTAGAACGGCCAGAAGAAGAACGAGTAGAAGTAGAAAGGCCAGAAGAAGAACGAGTAGAAGTAGAACGGCCAGAAGAAGAACGAATAGAAGTAGAACGGCCAGAAGAAGAACGAGTAGAAGTAGAACGGCCAGAAGAAGAACGAGTAGAAGTAGAACGGCCATAAGTAGAACGAGTAGAAGTAGAACGGCCAGAAGAAGAACGAGTAGAAGTAGAACGGTCAGAAGAAGAACGAGTAGAAGTAGAACGGCCAGAAGAAGAACGAGTAGAAGTAGAACAAGAACGAGGAGAGGAATGCAGAATTAGTGTTAAAGATTGATTATCTTTACAGCACTCAGGCCACATCCAGAAGTGCTCAGACCCCCACCCCCCCCCCACCCCCCCCCCCCCCCCCCCCCAACCCCTTTTTTTTCTCCAAAATTTTTTTTCAGCGACGCGCGTTTAATAGCGCCAGCCCTATGCTGCCGTAAAGAAGCTTAAAAAAATGGGTGTCTGGTTAAACGAGGCACAGTTCCGGTACAATATACGAACGTATTTTAGGGTCAAACTGCCACATTCTAACCGTTTCCGGTCGGCACCAGCCCGCTTGCCGGTCTTTGATCTTGTCACCAGTCGTCTGGTTTCCATGAATGAAATTCGCCACAGCACGCTATGAAATGCCGCTAGTAGACTGGACACTTGTGCACAAACGGGCAGCAGAGGATGAGGAGGGGGAGATAAAACAAGAAATACGAGTAACCAAAGGGGAAGGAGACGAATGAAGAGAAGATAGGGAGCAGAAGAAGAAAACTGGCCAATCACCTGACAGGTTTCTTCTGGTACTGATTGACGTTTAGGTAATACAACAGTTGCATTGTTTCCTGCAACTAGTATGCGGGGAAGGTAATGGTGACTGTTTAGAATTTACAGAAGTGTCAGAAAATGTTCAATATAAACTAATGCAGCAGAAGAAAAATATCATTCTCATTGCCATAGGTAGTTAGTTCTATGTGGACCCCATGTATCCAAGATTTGGACACCGCAGATTGGAATCGTGCCGAAATTTATTCGCGTGTGTGCATATCAGAGCAATTCAGTTCTTCCTCTCGGTTATTTATTATTGAAAGTATGTTCGGGCAACCAACTTACCTCTCGCCCGTAATGTTTGACAAAGCGCATGGTGTCTCGCTCTGTCAGCAGGCATTGCTTGGATAGGTTGATTGGATATTGCTTATTTTGGTATCCACTGTGTTTTGGGAGTCCATTCTGCTATGTCAACCGCTAAGCAGCAATGCCGCTGACTGACTGACTCACTTTCTACCCCACTAGGACATCACACAAGCGATAAACACCCGATGTCACAAAGTGCCACCATGTGGATGAGGATCGCCGTGGACAGGTCCCAGAAACCGGGTTCAGACAATTGGCCATAGCAATGTCGCTACTTGAAAGATGGTTAAATATGCAGGCATGACCAATGACAGTTGTCTGTTACTCTCTGTTTAGCAATAAGTGGCACTTTGTTTACACAGGTCTAGTGTGTCCATTTAGTTCATTAGTGGTTGCAGCTGCTGCAGAGCCAGCGCCAGACTTTCCCTTCAATCCTGCCTAGTTCTTCTTCTTCTTCTTAGTAAGAGATGGAGGAGGAGAAATATACACACAATGCAAATATGATTTAAAAATCACCCAGGCTGTACCAACAGGTTCATATTCCTCCAATTACAAAGCAGAGGTAGAAGCACTTCTAGCGGTATGTTCTTTTCTGAATGGACAGCAAATATAGCAAAGTGGTCTTTCTGACTGATGTGTCAGTTCTACAAGCAATTGTTAACCCAAAAGACACTCAGTTTGTAGACTTGACGCAACAGCTGATTTACTTAGGCTCTTCAGTAGAACAATCGGTACTGCCGTGGATTACAGGTCACTGTGGCTTGGAAGGCAATGAAATAGTGGACAGATTGGCCAGAAGCGGCAGTGACATGGTACAACCAAATAGTGACTTAACCCACCGAGAGACGAAAACATTAATACAATCTAGTATCCAAAAAAGGTGGCTGGATACCCACACCAGATTTTCTCCCCAAGATTCACTTCATCGCCTCTCTAGAGAGGGACAGCGTATTATATTCAGACTAAGGACTGAGCACAACAGATTTCGTCAACAATTTCAAGTGTTAGTCTGGAATATTCTTTCAGTATCAGCTAAGTAACTCTTTCAAAACCAAGCAGCTCGTTTTACGTTTACTGCGGTAGTACTTTTTCAAATTTCTTTCCTGGCGTCAATCGATATCCAAACAGTTACTTTACTATCCCAGGTGTATATTATAGTAACTACGAGCAGTTAAGATTCACAGATGGTTACTCTACAGTTTACAGTAGTAAATCACTAGGATAGAAAGTGTCTAGGTTACAATTGACTCGGACTGAAAGAGAATAGCACATTGCATGCCAAAATTCGAAACCTTCCTCTGCCAGTAAGGGAAAAACCGTCTGTACTATAAACCACTGTAAACCACTAAGGTGGATGGAAGTTCAAATTTGTAGATCGACTGACAATTTTATATTCTCAAGCTTCGCCTCCTGTCATTAATTCAGAAAAGGCGTTTGTTTTGTGTTGCTCTCTCTCTCTTTCTCTCTCTCCCCTTCCCACGCGCGCGCGCGCGCGCACACACACACACACACACACAAAATTGTAAAAGCTAATGTTCCAAGCCTCATAGTTAATAACGGTAACATCAAAAGAGAAAGCAAACTGAGGTACCTGGGTATCATTTTCGAAGCCTGCCCTTCAGGGATCATGGAGAGGCAGCTGTTGTGTTGCCAATGAGGAGTCAATGCTCTCACGATTACGGCAGCAATGGACATGCAACAAAGAAGGCTTTTCACAATATTCCAGCATGAGATCCTGTTCGTGATAGACCTCGGACTTGGAATGCTTACCATATCAAAGAATTAGTTGATGAAATTTGAACACATACAGAATGAAGCCATGCGGGAAATTCTGGGATGTGCAAGAGACAACCCAGTGTGTACGCGATATAAACTTGCACTGTCTACTATTGCTGACAGTCTCAAAGTTCTGCAATAAAGTCACATATCAAAGTAGCTGCAGACTAGAAGCGCCTCCTGCATGAACCCCTGGGTAGAGCCTGGTCACAGACTGAAAAGAGGATAGTCTTAAAAGGCGTAAAGCTGAAGACGTGATTGGACATGTGTGAAATCTCCATAAATGTAAGCGAGGAGAGGAGTGCGTCAGTGTCCGAGCAAGTTTCAGATATGGATGTATTGACTGGCCAGATGGTGCTGCAGAATCAGAAGTTCAGCAAACAATTCATGATAATTCCTACACAAAAACACAGAACATAAACAGAAACGGCAGCTGGTATTTGAAGAATACAAACATTCCAGATGACAATAATGACAATGCAAACAAAATTCAGCTTACCAGTTTTGCGTCTTTGCACTAGGGCATTATGTTTGAGTTCTTGAGCCTGAAATGTAGAATAATACAAACTAGTCTAACTTTCTTCAGAAAACATTTTCACATCTCGTCATACAAGGATTCTCTTAACCAGCTTAAGAATCTATTATCTGAGTTTACATTCTCAAACCCAAACAAAGAAAATCTAAGCTGGCAACATAGATAACCTTCAGATGCTGGTTCTCATCTGACTAAAGATGAGACTACTGAAAAACTAAATCAACTACACTTTATATTCAGTTACAAAACCGACGGTTCTTTTTTGTTAGTTCACCACATCCCGGGACTCTGATTTCATGGGAAGTTCCAGGGAAAATCCAATAGCATAAGGGGTGTGAAATGAACACCGAAAACACTGACCGCTTCCACCCCCCCCCCCCCCCCACTTTTTTGTTTCTCCCATAATGCTTGAATTTCATGGAATCTGCCTAAGAAATTTTGGAGTCGCCCGAGATGACTAGAAAAGTACCGAAACAAACTTCTAGCCAGAGTACAAAAGCTGTTACGAGTAAACAATCTCAAACTTGCTTCAAAACACAATAACCAACCAAACCATTTGCTGGTACATAATGTTACTATTACAACAAACAACTTCCTACACAACCTCATGATTATGAAAGACGAATCTGTTACTAGGCGCACAGCAATACGATTGTGAAAGAGGAATCTGTTACTAGGCGCACAGCAACACGATTGTGAAAGAGAAATCTGTTACTGGGCGCACAGCAAAACGATTGTGAAAGAGGAATCTGTTACTAGGCGCACAGCAATACGATTGTGAAAGAGGAAGCTGTTACTGGGCGCACAGCAAAACGATTGTGAAAGAGGAATCTGTTACTAGGCGCACAGCAATACGATTGTGAAAGAGGAATCTGTTACTAGGCGCACAGCAATACGATTGTGAAAGAGGAATCTGTTACTGGGCGCACAGCAATACGATTGTGAAAGAGGAATCTGTTACTGGGCGCACAGCAAAACGATTGTGAAAGAGGAATCTGTTACTAGGCGCACAGCAAAACGATTGTGAAAGAGGAATCTGTTACTAGGCGCACAGCAATACGATTGTGAAAGAGGAATCTGTTACTGGGCGTACAGCAATACGATTGTGAAAGAGGAATCTGTTACTGGGCGCACAGCAATACGATTGTGAAAGCTCCACATTACCACCTGATTTTGACAGATTCTGAGATTTCCCGTGTGGGTTCCGGGACCCTATTATGAGGAAAACCAGAGCAGACCCACTGCCTCCCTAATAAGCATATCGTAATAGTTGACTAATTAGGGGTTTTCTTCAAAGTTGGAGTGCAACTGCCTGATAGACAAAGAACCAACAGTCTGCATACAAATGTCCCGAACCTGTTTTAAAAAATGTACTCTCAAGTTTTTAAAACATAACTAAACTCTAGAGGTGGAGGAACGAGGAGAACTTTCAGCCGGAGTTCACAGACGGTCAACGCGAAAAGGAGGAGGGGGAAGAAGAAGAAGAAGAAAAAGAAGAAGAAGAAATGTTGAATGTTGTTGAATTAGGAATCGACATCACAGCACTTGGGACACCCCTATAAATGCTCCATCGCCATCTTCAGCAGCAAGCCAAGTGTTACAATTCCGATGGTACCAGTAACTGTCTGATTGTATATCGGTCTCGCCTTTTCCCTGAGTGACGAGTGTCAGCCAGATCCCCTTGTAACTCCTCGCAGTGTCATTCTTCCCAGACCGTAATAATCTATCTGTGCCTCGGCACTGTTCACTTGCTCCCAAAGGGCCTCACAACATCCAGCTTATCACACATCAGTTCACCTCCAAGTGGTGCAGAACTGGCCAGTCTATCTGCCTGCTCATTTTCCAACACACCTCTGAAGTGATGCCTGCCAATCTGCACGGAGCATGCCTGTCTCCACCTTACTCAACATGCTCTGTGAGTCAGTTACAATGACAGCATGTGTGTACAGCTGACTCTCAAGCCAGCGGAAGGCAGCAGTGACTGCCTCCACCTCCATTCTCAAACTAGACGTGATATCATATGTTAGGCTTAGTTGCACCAAGCGACGACAAAAAGCTTATACAAGTCTGAAACCTGATCAGACACCTTGACCCACTCCTCTTCTCGCTTAAATGTATCAAGCCTGCACACGTCCAATTGTGTCTTCAGCTTGCGCCATCAAAGACTTCCCTCTTTTCTGTCTGTGGCCCTTAGCTCTATCCAGGGTTTCATACAGGAGGTGCTACTCTGAGATATGACTTCGCTTGCAGAACTTTGAGCTGCAATAGTTAGTTAGTCGTTACAGTTCCAGCAACATAGCAAACAAGCTTAGCCCATTATTGCTCACCGCCTATGCCAGTGATTCCAGTCACAAACTGAGTCAGAAACGCTGGATATTTCAAGTGAATGCTGCAGCCATACAAAGTGTCCTCAGTCAGTAAAACACACACGATTTGATTTGGCAAACTATAAGGTGCATGCCTCCTTAAACACACTGTGAGACCAGGCGTCATCGCTGAAAAATCAACTTCATTCGACGAATAGCTGGGTATGAGTAGATTAAAACTATTTCTGACCATTCTCCAAATGTCCTCGGCCAAGTTGCAGACACAGCCAGCAAATAAATAGTAGCTATATCACAAGCCTTGCCCCAGGAATACAACGATCACCCATCACTGTCATTTTTGTACAAACCTGGGACTCAGTCAATAACTGATCTTCACAGCTTATAGTGCAGGCAGGAGCACTAAACTCAGTAGCTCCGGCTGCAAGCCGGACTTGAACAATCTTGCAATATCAAAACTGGAGGATAAACGGCGTCAAGAACAGTCAACATAAGCCAAGTTCTCAAGCGTCATTCATTCCTTATCAATTTCATAACCGGAAGTCTGCAATAGTAGGCAGTGCAGGTATATATCGCATAAATACTACCGGGGTATCTTTTGTACATCCCAAAATGACCCGCATGGCTTCATTCTGTATGGGTTCAAGTTTCATCAGCTGACTCTTTGATATGGTAAGCATGCCAACCATTACCTATCACCGACAGGTTCACATGCTGGACATTGTGAACAACATTCTTTGTTGCATGCCCATCGCTGCCATAATCTTGAGAGCACTGAGTCCTTTATGGCATTTCACCGCAACTGCCTCCACATGATCCCTGAAGGACAGGCTTCTATCGTAAATGATACCATGTACTTCAGTTTGTTTTCTTTTTTAATGTTACCGTTATTAACTGTGAGGTTTTAAATGTTAGCTTTTACAATTCTAATGTCCAGAGAGCACCACAAAACAGCTGCCTTTTCTGAGTTGATGACAGCGCTCATTTCTGCACACCAGTCAGTCAATTTGTCTATAGTTGCCTGTAACTCATGGGCTATACGTCGCCTACATCTTTGCTGCCTAGATGCAAGAACATCATCGACAAATGTAAATATTCTTCCAACACCTGGTGATTCCAATTCTGCAATCTTGCTTGTATGCACATTAAAGAGCACTGGTGAAATTGCAGAACCCTGGAGTAGTCCTGGGGCGACTTTACATGGTTCTGAGGTCCATGTACCCAGGCGAAGGGCATCCATTTATGAATGCAGGACATTCTTTCCTAACTATATCCTCTTGTAACCTGTAAGGTGCCTTTCGCACTTTCCGTAATTTCTTAAACGCTGCTTGCTTTGCTCTCCATGTCTATTCTTCTTCTTGTGTCCACCATGGAGGCTGCACATTAGCAGGGATGGTGGTTCTGCTGCATACCTTCTGTCAATGGCGTCCAAGAATGGTACTGTCCCTCTCATACTTAAGTCTGGCGCGTTCTTACAACCCTGATCTTGCTAGCTTTAGAAATCAAGACTGCGCATGGCATATGGTCACTCCCATGATCGCCTAGGACACTCGATTTTGTGTCCAGCACTGCTGACTGAGTAATAAACACCAAATCAATAGCCGTGTCTGCATCACCAGGTCTCATTGCCAGTCTAGTTGACCTACCATCATTAATACAGACTATGTCTGCATCTACCATTGCCTTTGCTAATGCATTTCCTTGCCTATTTTACCCACTACTGTAGCACGCTCTGTTCTGCATTGAAATCCCCATACATGAGAAGCCTTTTACCAGGGATTTCCACCAACTCTTTGAGTCAGTCCCAATGTTCTTTTGTGACGAGAGATTGAACAGCAGCGTAAACATTTACTAAATTCCAGGTTGTTCCTCCATTATCTATCTGTATACGCTGAACCTCTAGTGTACTATGATTTCACTGTCCCAGGTCGAGAACCACATGCTTTCAACCCATTCTAATGTATCCAGGACACTCATGTCTGTCTATGTTTAATTCCTGCAGCATGATATCAAAATCATTTATCAGTTTCTCCAGTACAGGTCCTCTCTACTTTGCACTACGACAATTCTAGTAACCCACTCTAATATGCTTTAATCCCAGACGCTCTGTTTTTTGCCTGAGTCTCCGGGCTCCGGGTTCTCCTATTTCTACGCCTTCTTCTCTCTTCATTTCCTCATCTTCTCCTCCTCCCACTTTCTCCGTTGATGAATAGGTATCAAGCACAGAGCACGCACCCTGTAGCTCCGGTGATGATTCTTTTTATTATTAAATAAAAAATCCATAGAAAATAATCTTTCAGTGCAGGAAGTAAACAGTCAGCCTAGTATTGCCTGCTTGCTAGGGAAGAGGCAGGGGATGTCCTGAGGTCTGCCGTTGCCTCACCTGCTAACCAGATGTTCCATTTTTACGATTGTATAATCCACAGTCATTCAGCCCATAGGCACGTAGGTCCACCGTAGGCTTCGTTTTTTTTTTTTCATCAAGGTTGTCTCCTCTAGATCCGTTGTGTTCTGTGCCTCTCAGTTATGGCACAACGTTCTTGACTGTAGAAAGTATTTCCTGATCAAGGGACGTGCAACCTAAGTGTGCTGTTTTTACCCTATAAGTATGAGTACTCACAGGGTTAGACCTAGCTCCTGAGAGAAAACAGCTGGTATGCTCCACTGCGCGAGAGATCAGACATCT